TCCACTCCTGTGTATTTACCAAAAAGAAAACAAAACAAATGCTACACACAGTAGTACACAAATGTTTATAGCAACAAAAAGGAGAAAACAACAGAAATGTTCATCAACTGAGGAGTGGATAAATCAAATGAATCCATAAAATAGAATCTTATTTAGCAATAAAAGGGAAAAAAGTGTTAATGCATGCTCCAGAATGGATGAACATTAAAAATATGTGAAGTGAAAGAAGTGAGTAAAAAATGACTATGTGTTATGATGATTCCATTTATGTGAAATGTCCAGAATAGGCAAATTCATATTCAGGAAGTAGACGAGTGGTCGCCTAGACTAGGAGGGCTTTAGGAAAGGCTGGAGAAAATGGGGAAAGTTTGCTAATGGGCGCAAGTCTCTTTAAGGCACATTAAAATGTTCTAAAATTATACTACGATGATTATTTCTCCACCCAGTTAATATACTAAAAGAATTTGAAGTTTGTACTTTAAATGAGTGAATTACACAAAGTATGAATAATATCTCAATAAAGCTGTGGGAAGTTAAAAGTGTATGTAGGATGCATACAAAAATCCTACTTATCTTTATACATGAATGAAATTCTGTCATTTGTAAAAACATGGATGAATTTAGAGGATATTATACTAAGTAAAATAAGCCAATCGCAGAAAGACAAATATCTCATATATCACTTATATGTGAAATCCACAAATGTGCACTCACAGATGTTAGGAGTGGAATGGTGGTTTATCAGAGGCTGAGCGGGGCTTGGCGGGGGGAAGTTGGGAGTAGAATGGTGGTTTGTCAGAGGCTGAGCAGGGCTTTGGAGGGGGAAGTTGGGAGTAGAATGGTGGTTTATCAGAGGCTGAGCAGGGTTGAGGGGGGAAGTTGGGAGTAGAATGGTGGTTTATCAGAGGCTGAGCGGGGTCGGGGGGGAAGTCGGCAGTAGAATGGTGGTTTGTCAGAGGCTAAGCAGGGCCGGGGTGCAGGTAAGTTGGGAGTAGAATGGTGCTTTATCAGAGGCTGAGCAGGGCGGGGGTGAAGTTAGGATTAGAATGGCGGTTTATCACAGGCTGATCAGGGCGGAGTAGGGGGTGGGAAAAGGGGAACTATTCAATGGGATAATGCTTCAGCAAGGAGAGATACATTCTGGTGATATGGTGCACAGCAAAGTGACAGCAGTTACTCATAATGAAGTGCGTATCTTAAAACTGCTAAAATACTACAACTCAAATGTTTCACCATAATGTAATAAATATGTGAGGTGGAGGATATGTTATTTAACCTAATTTGTCCATTTCACAATATTTACATGTATTGTACCACATTGTATCCATATATATTTATTTATCAATAAAAACAAAATTTTCAAAAGAGAGCAAAACAGTGTGCCAGATCTTCATCTAAAGACATTTCTGAGAAAAATGTATCTGTTTTCTTTCAGAATAAATTTACAGTTAATAGATATTATGTTACCTAAAGTAAAGCGGATAATTTTGGCCATCAGCTTATACTGTGGGATAATCTCTTTTTGCTGACCTTGTAAAAGCTGCCGCGGATTAACAACAAGTAGGAAAGATTTTTATCATGATCAGGTAAAGGTTCTGCATGCTTCTATTTTGAATAATATTGTCCCCCTAGAATCGCAAAGTGTGAATGCCTTTTGTTTCAGAGGTCTAGCCCTAAATGGTTTAGTCATTACATCTTGCATTCTAAAACAAGTCCTAGTGCGTTTGTGATGGTACTATATATAATTGTGTTTTTAATTTAACTATCATATATATCTACTTTTCTGTTAAAAGTCTATATTTTACAGAGGCCCTCCATACATATAAGTGCTTTTATGATAGGCTATCCACTAAATTTCAAACATAAGTTAAGGAACAGTTTTGCTTTTATTTTTTATTATTCTTATTATATTTTAAGGCTAGGCAAGTGAAGCAGTGGGAGTGGAGAAGGAACTGCTTTAATTTTTATATGTTGGTGTTACAGGCTGTATGTGACAGGCTATATATTTGTCGGCTGAATTTTAGAAACAAAGTGAAATATTTATTTCGTATTTCATTAGATATAGGGATGATGATTACTTCAAGGGATTGTCGCTAGACTGAAAGCATCACATCATCAATCACTTGGAAACAATATTTTGTCTATGTGTTCTGTTACGTTGACAAAAACTTTTATTGTGGCAATATACCTCACAACTGAAATATGTGAAAAATATACAGAAAAAAAGACAATGTTTGTTATTAAGGGATATTTAGGCCTGAGCTGCAAGATGCAAATATTTAAAACATACACTTTTTAAAAATTACCTTTAAAATGTAAATTGAAGCAAGGCATTTAGAAAAAGACATAATATCTACTATAAAAGTCCTAGGTTAGAAAACGTTAAAATACTAAATGAGAAAATAATGCTTCTTGGGTAGTTTAAAATCAAATATGAGGCAAAAAATTACTCAGAACTTTTTGTAAGATTAAGAACATCTATACAGTTTCTTTGATATAAATGAAATAAATGTCTGAAATAACTTTAATAGAATAGGCAAACAAGGGCAAAGGAGAGGTGTATGCAGAATAAAGTGAACATATTATTCTAACAATGAGAGGGACAGAATTGAATGATTGCTCTTGGAGACAAGGGATTTTAATGTCTAAGTCAATGACAAAACTTTCTTTTGCAAGTTAAAAAATGTACCTTAAACCTGGTGAAGGAATAAAGGGTGGTGGAGGGGATGATTCTTTGTACACTAAACTGGTTTTAATGACTATTGAATTAATCATAAGTTCAAAAGATTTTATGGAGACCGTTTCTTTTTTATTTGATATTTCTGGACTGCTTTTCTCTTTGTATTTGCTCCATTTTTACCTGCTTGAACAAATTTTCCCCAGAAAGTTTAGGAAACACTGTAACCACATGCTCCAGCATGATGTGATCCCTGAAAGCATTTGCAGCTGGGGGAGGAGGCAAAGGGGCTTCTCTTTCAACAAATGCGTATTTCAGTGAAAACTCAGAAGTTTAAACATGGTCCTCCTTGGGTCATGTGGCTACCCCAGGACCAGTCATTGCACCAGACATAGGAGATAGTCTCAAAAGCCAGGCTGGAGTCAAGGTTCTCTGGTGGAGTTTCCACTTTAGAAATGGGTTTTGTCAGGCTTTGTGTTTTCATGTTACAGACATGATAGCCATATATCTATCTATTCCACTTCCAGTGGAGATGAAAACCTAAAGCATATGCCCATTCAATGGATTTTACATGAATCTTCATAGCAGCTTTACTTGCAACAGCCAAAACCTGAAAACAGTCCAAATGTCCATGGACAGGTGAATTTGTGACTGAAAAATTTACTATGGTATATGTATATAATGAAGTAATACTCCCTAGTAAGAACAGAACAATTGATAGATGTAGCAACATGAATAAATCTCCAAAATAGTGATGCTGAGTGATGAAAAAGTATACCCACCCTATGATTTCAAGTATTTGGAAATAAAAACTCACAGGGACTGCAGGTGGATCAGTGGTTGCCTGTGGATGGGATGGGGATAGGCAAGAGAAAGTGAGTAGAAAAAACACAAGAAAACTTTGGTGGTAAAGGTAATGGATATGCTTTTTATTTGAATATGTTGTTGGTTTTATAGAGCTACAAATACCAAGAATAATCAAAATGTATAATTGAAGTATGTGCAGTTTATTGCATGTAAATAAACCTTTTAAAAATTAACTGATACAAATTGACTTACATGACCAGAAATCTGTTGAAAACTCTCATGTTTTCTTCCCCATTTTTATTCTTGTGTGCTCTTACAGACCGTGTGAACACATTTCTCATCTTACTGTTCTTTTATGTCTACATTTCTCCAGGTCAATATAACTATCACCATAATTTCTTGCTTTCTCTTTAGTTCATTAGTAATTATGAGTAATGTATTGAAATGTTAAAGATATGTTCATGCATTCAGAATCCTCTGCTCTCTGATCCACATAATAGTGAATTAAGCTGTCAACAATTACACAGAATATTGCTCCTTTGTTTGTTTGTTTGTTTTTTGATGAAGTCTGTCTTGGTTACCCAGGCTGGAATGCAATGGCACATTCTGGGCTCACTGCAACCTCCACCTCCCGGGTTCAAGCAATTTTCCTGCCTCAGCCTCCTGAGCAGCTGGGATTACAGGCATCTGCCATCATCCTCAACTAATTTTTGTGTTTTTATTAGAGACAGTGTTTCACCACATTGGCCAGGCTGGTCTTGAACCCGTGACCTCAGGTGATCTGCCCACCTTGGCCTCCCAGACAGCTGGGATTACAGGCATAAGCCACCATGCCCAGCCAGAATATTGCTACTTTTTCAAATAGCTACAATTAACCCTGATCTGGACACCTTGAGTTGATCATAGCTTTGTAAAAGAGGATAGCATTGTAAAACTATAAAAGTAGACTAATAATAAATAACAGAATGCTTTCAGTATAAGAAATAACACTATCCTAAGCAATAATAAATAAATAAATAAATAAATAAAGCTGGAGGAATTCTATTATCTGACTTCATATTATACTACAGAATTATAGTAACCAAAAGAATATGGTACTGGCATAAAAACAGACCCATAGATCAATGGAACAGAATAGAGAACCCAGTAGCAAATCTACATAGCTACAGTGGACTCATTTTTGACAAAGGTGCCAAGAACATACACTGGTGGTAAATGGTGTTGATAAAACTGGATATCCATATGCAGAGGAATGAAAACAGACTAGTATCTCTCATAATATATGAAAGTAAAATCAAAGTTGATTAAAACTCCAACAATAAAACTAGTACAAAAAAAGTTTGAGGAAAATCTCCAGAACATTGGTCTGGGCAAAAATATTTTGAGCAATACCCACAAGCACAGGCAGCCAAAACACAAATGGACAAATGGATCACACTAAGTTAAAAAGCTTCTGCCCAGAAAATGATACAATCAACAAAATTAAGAGAAAATCCACAGAATGGGAGAAAATATTTACAAACTACTCTTCCGACAAGGGATTAATAATCAGAATATATAAAAAGCTCGAACAACTCTTTAGGAAACAATCTAATAACCTGGTTTAAAAAAGGGCATAAAAGATTTGAATAGATATTTCTCAAAAAGAGACCTACAAATGGCAAACAGGTATAAGAAACGGTGCTCAGTATCACTGATCATCAGAGAAATGCAAATTAAAACTACAATGAGGTATCATCTCACCACAGTTTAAATGACTTGTATGCAAGCCAGGGAAAGTCTACTTTGATTGACTTATGGCCCTATTCACCTGGCAGTTCCTTCAGATGTGGCTTCCCAGGTTTGTGTATCCGTGTGACAATGTGTCTGTGTGTCCTTGTGTCCACGTGGCAGTGTCTGTATGGTGGTATCTGACAGTGTGGAGGTGTGTCCATGTCACAGTGTGGCGGTGTGTCTGTGTGTGTGGCAGTGTCCATGTGGCAGTGTGTCTGTGTGTTCGTGTGAGAGTGATGGTGTGTCCCTGTGACAGTGTGGTAATGTCTCTGTGTGTCTGTGTGTCCCTGTGGTATGTGGTCGTGTGTCCTTATGGTGATGTCTCCGTGTGTCTGTGTCCGTGTGACAGTCTGGTGCTGTGCCTGTGTGGTGACTTCTCCGTATGTCTGTCTGTCCGTCCATGTGACAGTGTGGCAGTGTGTCCGTGTCGTAATGTCTCCGTGTGTCTGTACATGTGACAGTGTGGTGGTGTGTCTGTGTGTCCGTATGGTGATATCTCCATGTGTCTGTGTGTCTGTCCATGTGGCCATGTGGTGGTGTGCCCGTGTGGTAGTGTCTTCGTGTGGCGGTGTGTCAGTGTGACAGTGTAGCGGTGTTCCTTCTCCAGCGTGCGGAGCTGGCACCCTGCCCTCTCAGCCCAGGACGCCCCAGAAGGCCCCAGCTTGGCGGGCAGGAGGTGGTTCCTGTGGAGGGAGGTGCAGGGAGCCCCGAGAGCCGAGTTTGTGGGGTCCCCTGCATTGGGTGGGAGTGAGGAGAAAGGCACCCAGGCAGCCAGGAGAAGGCTGGGCCTGCCCTAAGGAGACCCGCTCTGGGCCTGCATTTCCTGGGCCGAGTACTCCAGCTCAGTCATCTTGTCCTGAGTCCTTTGTGGAACTTGGAGATTGCTGGGTTTTGAAGAAGGGAAGGTCATCTTTGTTGCGGAAAGCCTGATGTGTTTCTCTATTGCTGTCACTTTTCAGCCTCATCGCTGGTGAAACATCAAATGCCGGACACCTTCTGCCAAGAAAACTCCTGGAAGTAAATGTGGGGACTGGCAGTATCCAACCAGAGGAGTCACACGCGGATTTCTGTGTGGTTGGAGATCTGAGGTTTTCCCTGTGGGTGGCGGAAGTGGAGCAGCTCTGCGGCGGGAAGGAAGGTGGGTTCTGTGCTACAGGAAGGTCCTGGCCTGGGGTGGAGGCGCCAGAGGGGATGGGCGGTCAGGGGCTGTGCAGGCCACCGGGCAGTGTGCATTCCCCCGGCTAGTCGCCCAGGAGGAGGACAGGTCCCGGCCTGGCGGGATCAGAGGCAGCCAGGCTGCGCTGCGGTCCGCGAACCAGGCGTGATGGCTGGCAGAGTGGTAGGCCATGGCGGAGGGGGACTCCCGGGCACCTGCTGTGCATCCTCATGACCAGGACACACACCGGCCTCTGGAGGCCAGGCGGAGCAAGCAAGGGGCGTCAGGCAAGGTTTGGGGTTCCCGCGGCGGGAGGTGGGTCCCTGGATCCTGGTGTCCTGCTGCTGTCCGGAACATGGGCCGCCTTCCCTCAGTTGCACCCCTCCAGGGTCGCCTATCTGCGACCTCTGCACAGCTCCTGGCTGGTGGGAGGATGCGGCGGAGGCCTCAGGGCCCAGGTGGTCTGCAGTTTCTGCCACTGGCGGTGGCGCAGGGGCGAGCTCAAGCTGTGCCCAGGCAGGAAACTCTCCGACCTTGCCAGCTTCCGTGCCAGCTTTGGTGACTCTCTCCAGCTCAGCTTCAACACCGTTCAACAGTTCTGTGTTCTCTATTATCACAAGAATTCTTTCTGTATTTGCTATCCTTTATCAAATAAGAATTTAAAGATGCATGTGGAGTGAGATCACAGTTGAAACATTAAAAATATATAATTTCAAGTGTTGTTTAATTTTAATTTTCTAACAAGTAAAATTATGACTCTAGTGCTAATATAAGATAAACACGTATCAACAATGTTATTCAACTCAGTAAGCAATGAAGTTTCCAGTAAAAGGTTCAAATCATTGCAAGGAACATTAAAGTAGCTTTACAGCCAATGTTAAGGTCAGATCGTTGGTTAGTTACAATACTAGATAGTATCCAACATAGTCAGAATCTGTCATCTTTGTGAGTTATCTCTTCCATGGCATAGAAATTATGTGTTTCTCTACTGTACAAAATATTTATCTTTTCTACTACTTCTGCACATAAAAATATTGCTAGTCGCAAAAGACCAGGATTGCACTGAAAAAAAAAAAAAATCTGAGTACTCTCTCTCACCTGTCTTCATACTTCTTTTCTTCCTTTATGAAATATCTTTGAACTGCATTTTCTATCTGAAGGTCTCTGGAGAGAGAGAGTAAAATGAATAGAAGCATAGTAAGTGAATATTTTGATAACATTTACAGCTTTATTCATGTCAAATGAACATAAAATACACTACCAATATTTAAAGCATAATGAGATGAATTTGATGTATACATGTGCCCATTAAACAATCACCATGAAGGGGTCAGTGAGCATATCCAATACTCTCAAAGTTTCTCAGTTCCCCTTGGTAATGCACGCTCATACCTCTCAGGTGTGAAGTACTGAGCTACACACACACACACATGCACACACACACACACACTGGGATATCTAATTGTTTCAGAAGCATTTGTTGAAAATGTTATGTCTATGAATGCTCTAAGAACTTTATGAAAAACTAGCTGAAAGCTGATACACCTGTGTATATCTATATTTGTACCACATTGTCTTAAGTACTGTAACTTGAGAAGTCTTGAAACCAGGTGCTGTTAATTATCCAACAGCACCTGGTTTCAAAGTAATTGTTTCCTTTCAAAGTAATTTGCCTTTGTAGGTCCTCTACCCATCGACATACATTTCAGAATTTTAGTTTCTCAATTTCTAAAATAAGGAATACAGCTGTGATTTGATTGGAATTCTTATAGATCAATGTGGGAAGAATAAACATTTTAACAGTATTGAGATTTATGACTCATACATTCCATTGATTGAGGTCTCTTATTTATTTTAACAATATTTTGTAGTTTCGTAGTTTTCAAACGTTTCTTTTTTTTGCAGGTTTATCCCTAAGTACTACACGCTTTGATATTTGCAATAATATCAAAATTATGGTAATATTAATGTAAATGTTTCATTTTTTCCTCCAGTAATTGTCAAGTAGCTTTAAATCATAATTTAATTGTATGATACAACGGGGTTTTGAGAAACGTATACACATTGTATATATACATTTTTTTCAGTTTGGCAGATTGACTCCACTATCATATCATAATTTAAAATTGCACTAATTACCACCAGCCTGCTCTCAAGGACAATACATCAAAATATGTATCATGTTTCAGTTTATTTAGCATCATGAAACTCTCACATTGCACTTACTTTTGGAAACCTGGAATAAAACAATAATGTAAATATCAGCTCACAGGCAACATATGGGTACATGTGACAATTTTCTAAATATCGACCTTTCACTATTTAATTCTCTGTTTATATTGTCGATTTTTTCCCTCCTCTTGAAACTCTCTTACACTGCTTATTAAATTTTGGTTCAATTCTCTCCCTACTTTTTCCAATAATCTACTTTCTAATATTTTACTGATGCTGTGCTCCTTTTCATTTGGACACTTCAAAAAAGCTGCATAATTTCTCCTTTGTATTAAAATGCAAATCCATATCCAAAATAAATGAGTGCAGGGACCAAACAGATGTTTGTGCAGTGTGTCCATGAGCAATATTATCCACAATAATCAAAGGGAAGGAGCAGCCCATGTGAATATTGATGGATGAGTAGTTAAAAAAATGTGGTATATATGGCAACGTCATAATATTCGGCCTTAAAATACATTCTGAACATGCTATGAAATAGATGAAACTTGAAGATATGCCAAGTGAAATAAGCCAGTTCGAGAAATTCAAACATTCTATATCATGCCATTTCTGTGAGATACTTTGTGAAATTTGTAGAGACAGAAAGTAGAATGGTGATTGCTACGGGGAGGGGTAGGGAGAGGAATAGGAAGTTGGTGTTCAATGAGTACAGAGTTTTATTTGGAGAAGACAAGTTTTGGAGGTCTATGGTGGTGACTGTTGCACAACAGTGCAAATATACTTAATGCCACAAAACCGTGCACTTAAAGTGATTAAAAACGTAAATCTTTTGTTCTGTATATCTTTCCAGAATTATAAACCTGCAATCACAGTATAGAAATAGAACATGTTATATAGCTTTAGGTGATGATATTTTACACATTTGCACATATAAAATGCTAAATAAATTAAACATGGAATGAAGATTTGTCCTTAAATATAATTTACAAGAAGACTTTGATATTTGTTTTTCACAAGTGAAGCATTCTTATAAACTGTCATGACCTTTTGGGGGAACCTCTGGAAAAAATGGAGAAACTCTGAAGCTACATTCTCCCTAACCTCTCTTTACAGGGAGCTCCTGCAGCTCCTACAGAAATGAGTGGCTGAGATTCTTGATTGCATAGCAGAACTTCTCATCCAAACCCTTTCCCTTTTTAGTGTCTGTGTATCAGTATAAAAGTTCTGTAAACTGTAGTTCCTTATTTTAATCCCAAAGCACAGTAACAATATATTTCATCCTAGCATTGGCAGTTTCTGTGAGTGTTTTGTTTAATTCTTAAAACTCTATCTTTGGGATTCCAAAGAGCCTAAAAAGTAAAATATTTTAAAAAGGGGAAAGAGACAAAGAGAAAGAAACTAAAATCAATAGCCCATTCTGTCACTGTTATTAAACACCAGAATACCTTTCTGTTAATCTAATTAAAATTAGTGACATCATTTAGCATTTATGTCTTGAACAAAAGTTTGGAATCCTGAAAAAGAAATTTAATTTGCTAATAAATATATTTGAGTGGAATTGAACTCCTTATATATTACTTCAAATAAGAACACAAGATGAATTATGATATAGAAAATTCTATCTCTTGTTGTCCAAAATCTAATAGTTAAATTGAACTTATCGAATAACATTATTTGCCAGGCATGTGGCTTACATCTGGAATTCCAATACTTTAGGAGGCAAAGGCAGGTGGATTGTTTGAGCTGAGGACTTGCAGACCAGGTTTGGCAGTACAGTGAAACCCAATCTTGAAAAAAAAAAAAAAGCCAGGTGTGGTGGCTTGCCTTTAGTCCCAGATACTCAGGAGGATGAGGTGGGAGGATCACGTGAGCCTGGGGAAGCTGGGACTGCAGTGCACCATGATTGTGTCACTGCCCTCCAGCTTGGGCAACAGACTGAGACCCTATCTCAAAGAAAGAAAGAGAAAGAGAACAAAAGAACAAGAGAAAGAAAGCAAGAAAGCAGGAAGGAAGGAGGGAAGGAAAGAAGGAAGGAAGGAAGGAAGGAGAAAGAAAGGAAGGAAGGAAGGAAGGAAAAATAATGTTTTTGGTGCCAATAATCTTTGTGAAATTATACATGGAATTTTGCTTTAATAAAATAGATTTAACTAAGTTGTGACATGATTTAAGTGTACTGACCCTAGCAATCAGAGACCTCCGAATCTGCACAATGACTTGACAGTTACATTTGACAAGAATTGATTCTCCTATCATACATACAGCATAGTCACAATTTCAGAACTCCAACTTTCCCTATGCTATTTGTGCACATTGCTTAACATCTCTAAGACTCTATATTTTTACTCTTAAAATACTGCTAATAATAGTACCTAGTTTTTATAACGTGTATCAAAAGCATTATACTTTAAGGCAAATAGTAATTTCTCAGTAAATATTTGCTAATGTGTGTTTTAGTACAAACAGGAAAATTGGATTGTGATATTTATGACACTGTTGATTCTCCTTCTAGAAACATTTAATTGTTTCTAAAACTTGTTTTCAAGTAGAGCAGTATTTTGTGTTCAAATTGAAAATACTACATGTTCATACTTTTTTTTTAAAGTATTCCTTGAATATTTTCATTAAAAAAATTCCTAAATGAGCTTGAGCAAGGAGGACAGGAGAGATCAGTAAAATAAGGCTTTGTGGCATAGGAGACATTTGGTGGAGAGCTTTCAGCTCAAATAAGATTTGGAAAAAAAGAGAGAGAGAATTTTTATAACAAACGTAAAGGCAGGATTTACCCTGATGAGCTTGTGAAGAAAATACAGAGTATAACGAAATCCAAAAGAGACTAATCAGTCAAAGTAGTTTTGAAGGAAATATCTCAAAGAGAGAGAACATAAAATGAAGATCAGGTATGTAATTATTTTAATAATCTACCCATGAGATAGAAAGCACTGGGTTTTTTGAATTGATCACAAAGGGAAAATAGTTTCAAGAACCATTCTTTGTTCAGCCTAAAGCAGATTTTACATTTTGAAACAATGACATATTGTGCTAAGTAGATAATATCCACATTTGTGTGTACAGGAACAATTCTGTTCTCAATGAAAACACTTTATTCACACAAGTGATGATTATCTGCATTTGATTTAGTGCTGAAAGGCCAAAGGGGGACTAATAAAATTTTAGAAATGCAAGCGGCTTAACTGGAAAATCATGATCATACTCAACTCATCATGACTGAAATAAGAAAACAAAGCAAAAAATAAATAAGAAAAAAATTGACTACATGAACATTTGCTTCTCTCCTAAGAATCAAAACGCTTAATTTGCTGTGGCTTAAAAGCATCTAGGTCCACAAGCCATGCAAAAGTCTACTGTTTCTGGGAGATAAGAAGAAGCAAAACACATCAGCTTTCAGAGAAGGTTAAGAAACCTCTTACACCCTACTCCACCCCACCTGAGACCAGGCAAAGGATCACTGCTTCTAGGGCACGGATGGAGGAAAAATACTTCTCCATCAGGAGAGGAACAAGGATTGTTTTGGGGCCCAGGATTTTGCACTAATGCAGAGTCGTGCTACTGTGGTAAAGGGTTGGAAAATCTCCATCCAGTGACCACAGACAAAGGTGCATTGTTCCTATGGAAGGAGAAAGAAAAGTTAGCCCTTATTGTGGGTTTGAAAACTTTCAATGATATAAATCAAAGGTTTTCTACCACTGAGGTGGGAGGAGGCAAGATATTATTTCTTCCTCAAAAACCAACACAGATAAGGGACAGTTTGACTCCCACTGGAATAAAAGTCGTGAAGTGCTAAAAATATCCCTTCTCTGAGACTCCGATGATGAAACTGGCTCCAAAATAACATGAATCATCCCTCTGCTCCCAACCTCAATTTTCTGCGTAGTCACACACACACAAGAAATGATGTTCTACAGTTAGAGAGGAACAAGAAAGTGGAGAGAGACCCTCTGTGACATAGGTGGTAAGGACTACCAGAAGGTAACTGTGGAACAGGAGCATTGGCATATGCCCTGCAGAGCCTAAGGCCCCACACAAGGC